AAAGGTGACTATCCTAAAGGATTGCTGGGTTTACATGATGATTGCTGGGTTTACACTAATGCATGATACCTGAAAGACGATACTTGGTACAGGTAAGATGTATAACTTGCTGAGAGCTGAGGCAAGGAAAAAGGGTACTAGCTGAGCAAACTTAATAGCAAAAAACAACAACAAGAAAAACAAAGCAAAACACGCTGCTGTTCAGAATAAAGACACTTGTGCCATTTAAGTGTTCAGTTTTTGATCTATTACAGTGTTCAGTCTTTGATCTCTAGAACTAGGTTGAGACAGTTCATCCTACAAGTGTCTTCATCTTCTCAAAATCAGCCTCACTTCTGAGCAGAATGACTTTAGTGACTGGTCTTGTGTAGCTTTTTGTTGTGCCGTCTTCAGCCATCATGAGGTGAACCTTGCGCACTTTTCCATCTTCACTGACGTAGGTTTTGGTGGTACGGGCGAGAGGCCAGCTATTCCTGGGCAGCTCTTTACTGCGGAAGAGTACTAAGTCTCCTTCCTCCAAATTTCTAGTTTCATGTTGCCACTTCCTCCTTGATTGAAGCATCGGTAGATACTCTTTTCGCCGACGAGCCCAAAAACATTTGCAGGACACTAGACCCGTCTCCGCTGCCTGCTGTGAAAGTCTGTTTGGCTGAAATTTCCAGGAGCGGCTTTCAGGCTCTGAGACTTCTGAGTGAGCAGGGTGCTTGGAGTAAGAACCTCTGGCATGTCTGGGTCAGCGGGAACTGGCACTAAGGGTCTGGCATTCACTATTACTGTAACTTCGGCCATAAGAGTTGAGAGCACTTCGTGCGTAAGGCGTGTGGGACTAATGTCAGCAAGGATGGAGTCCAGGGTGCGTCTGGCGACCCCTATCATGCGTTCCCATGCCCCTCCTGTATGAGAGGCATGAGGGGAATTGAAGATCCACTCACAGCCTTCAGAAGATAAGTATGACTGAACGGTTGGGTTGTTCATGTCTGCAACTCAAGACTGCAGCTCGTTGTAGGCCCCTGTAAAATTGGTGCCACAATCAAAGCGGAGCTGGATGGCTGGTCTCCGTAAGGCTAGAAATCTGCGCAGTGCATTAATGAAGCCAGAAGTATCCATGGAGTCAATCAATTCAATATGGATGGCTCTAGTAGTCAAGCACGTGAAGAGCACTGCCCAATGTTTGTTGTTTGCAACATCTCCTCTCGTCCGCCGGGTTCTGACTAGCCATGGTCCAAATACATCAAGGCCGGCGTAGCTGAAAGGTGGGGCTGGAGCGAGACGAGCTTCAGGGAGATCTGCCAATTTCTGATTCTGTTGCCGGCCCCTAAGCTTCTTGCATTTTATGCAGCTGTTGATAGTACTGTTAACCAGTCGCTTGCCACCCACAACCCATAATCCACTGCTTCTGATTAAACCGAGGGTGAAGTGTCGTCCCTGATGCTGCACTCTCTCATGATAATGTCTGACCAAAAGCATTGTGACATGATGGGAGCTCGGGAGAATCAAGGGATGACTCTCTTCGTAACTCAGGCCCGATCGCTCCAGTCCGCCACCAACTCTTAGCAGTCCGTGATTGCCGATCACTGGGCTAAGCTTGAGCGGAGGGCTTGTTTTGGGTAACTTTGCTGAGCCCTTGAGGAAGCTGATTTCTTCTTCGTAACACTCGTGTTCGACATTCTGGATGACCAAGTACTTCGCTCTCATCAGGGTGTGGACAGATGGTGTCATTTCTGGGCTTTCTGAGGCCCTGGATTTTTGGTTCTTCTGAACAAACAAGATGAGTTTTGCAACTGCTTTTATGAGTGTGATCCATTTTGAGAACCTAGAGAAACGGCTAGTACCCAGGGCTGTGTTCGGTGGAACCTGTGTGGCCAGCACTTGAATGAAGGGGCGGACTTCAGGGTCAGCTTCTGTGGGTTGCTTGGCCTCCCACCCTGCAGGCACTTGAGGGAGTCATCATGCTGGTGAAGAAATGAGGGGCCACTATGCCACATGCTCTCATTCAAGGACTGGGCGTTAACAGACCGTGTGGCCAGATCAGCGGGGTTCTGCTGTGTGGACACGTAAAGCCACTGTTCCGGGGTCGAAGCTCTTCTGATCCTCTCCACCCGGTTGCTGACGTACACGTAGAAGCGCCGTGTCTCATTGGTTATGTAACCAAGAACAACCCTGCTGTCGGAATAGTATGTGATGGCTTCAGGTTTAATATCCAGCTCTTCAATAATCAGCTCTACCATTTCAACTCCCAGCACTGCAGCACACCGTTCAAGACGAGGAACAGTTGTGGCATGGCTAGGAACTAGCTTGGCCTTCCCAAGGACAAAGGAAACTTGGACATTTCCATTATGCTGGATGGTTCTCAGGTGGGAGACGGCTCCAATCGCTTCATTGGAAGCATCACAAAAGGTGTGGAGCTACCGTCGACTGACTGCATTGAATGGGATTGACGTGTAGCAACGAGGGACTCTCAGTGTTGTCAGAGCTTGGAGAGTCTGACACAAGGCTTCCCAGGTAGGTTTCCAGTCCTGTGGGAGAGGTTCGTCCTAGTTTTCTGGTAGGCAGTTGTCATGATGAGACGCCATGGATCGAAGGAGGAACTTGCCTTTAACGACAACTGGAGCGGCGAATCCCAAAGAATCATACAAGCTGTTGATTACAGACAATACATCTCGTCTGGTGAATGGTTTCTCCCCCGGAGAAACTCGGAAGGTGAATGCATCATTTGAAACGTCCCAGAGCACCCCCAGGGTGCGTTGCATCGGGATAGTGTCCTGTGAGAAGTCCAGATCACGGAGGTCATAAGCTCTGTCTTCTCTTGATAACGCCTAAGTTACGTTCGGATCATTGGAGACTATCTTATGTAAGCGAAGATTATATGCTGCGAGCATTCCTTGGGTGTGACTTAAAAGATCAAGAGCTTCAGCAGAATTAGTCGCAGATTTAAGTTCGTCGTCCACTTAGAAGTTGTTGTGCGCGAACTCTTTGGCATCTTACCCAAATTCGTCTTCCCCAAGTTCAGCAGTCTTTCCAAGACA